ACTAGAACAGAACTAGAACAGAACTAGAACAGAACTAGAACAGAACTAGAACAGAACAGAACTAGAACAAAACTAGAACAAAACTAGAACTGAACTAGAACTGAACTAGAACTGAACTAGAACTGAACTAGAACTGAACTAGAACTGAACTAGAACTGAACTAGAACTGAACTAGAACTGAACTAGAACTGAACTAGAACTGAACTAGAACTGAACTAGAACTGAACTAGAACTGAACTAGAACTGACATAGAACTGAACTAGAACTGAACTAGAACTGAACTAGAACTGAACTAGAACTGAACTAGAACTGAACTAGAACTGAACTAGAACTGAACTAGAACTGAACTAGAACTGAACTAGAACTGAACTAGAACTGAACTAAAACTGAACTAGAACTGAACTAGAACTGAACTAGAACTGAACTAGAACTGAACTAGAACTGAACTAGAACTGAATTAGAACAGAACTAGAACTGAACTACAACTGCAATATAACTGAACAACAACAAAACTACAGCTGGACTATGACTCAACTGACCTAGATCTGAACTACAACTGAACTAGAACAGAACTGAACTGAGCAAAAACTAGTAATGAATTGATAAATGATCGAAATCGCTTGAATTAATTTCTTCCCACGAGAAAGTGAAAATTAAAAGAATTATTATTTTCCAAATCTTGTTTGCCCTGAAGTATACTTTAAATACTGGTTTTCTTAAAAAGTGAAACAGAATAACAAAAGCACTTAAATTAAGCGCCCTAATCAAATGTTTATCTTTATCTCTGTAATTCTTCAATTACCAGAAAGAATGCATAAAAGTGGCAGGTGATTTCTATTTAATTATTTGTTGTGCCAACTATTAATAGCAAAAATGGAACAGGCTAAAGGCTTTAACCATACTAAAACATTATTTGAAGAGTAAAAATATTAAATATATATCCTCAGGCCAGTGATGCCAGGAGATTTTTTTCAGAAATCCCTACGCTTATGAGAAAAAATCCCTTTTTTCCCTACACCCACTTTTTATTTTCCCTACATTTTTCCCTACACTACATTTTTCCAAGTTTATCTTAAAAAAATACAAAAATAACATAAAAAACTAAAATATTAGCTCCGTTTTATAATATACATATATATGTATTTTTTTTTTAAATTTTTAGGAATGAAATTTCTAGAATTTAAATTTTTTTTCTTTTAATTTTACATAATACAAATCTTCCAAGCCTGACTCTTCAGTTAAGATTAAAAAAACAAGACAATTAATAGATTTATGGCAGTATGACGATTCGATGTTAACAATTTATTTTATGTTTTTAAGGTTTACTTTCGCGTTTACTTTTGCGTTTTCTTTTTGCGGTTTACTTTTACTTTTCAGAACATTAAATCTATATGAAATATTTTAGTATGTCGCATGTTTTGTAGACCTCAGTTCAAGAAACCCGAATTTTGGATTATGCCAGTCTTGTAGCGATATGTAGGTACATATATTGTAGAAATTACAAGCGGAATTTTTACTAACGATACACTTAAAACTGATTTCATTTTTAATTTTAAAGTTTAATACATGAAAGGGTATATTTTTAGTTGTTAAAAACTATGAAATTGAAAAATCCCTACAATTTGACAATAGTAAGAAATCTTTCCCTTTTTCCCTACACGTGAAATTTTTGAAAAAATCCCTACAAAAAGGGAAAAATCCCTACACTTGGCATCACTGCCTCAGGCTAAAATCAACAGACATCTAGAGTTCATAATAAAGCACATAAATGATGGAATGAATGAATGAATGTATCTTTGTATCTGTGAGTTATAACAAATAAACTCAACAGTTTTGAAATTGAAATTTCAAATAACATTTCCTCAATTTATTTTGATGTTTTATGAGATGTTTATGTTACATGTTCATGTCTAAGCGAAAGACATAAATAATTCTTAATAAAATAATTACAACAATTAAAAAAAGTAAATTTTTTTGTGGATTTTAGTTTTCTTTTAAATCCCAGATAAAAGAAAATGTATATTTTCATGACGGGTATTTAACTTCTAATGTATTTTTAAATAGTTAATAAATTTATGTTTATTTAACATTTTTAACGTTTTGTTTTTTTAATTTTGATATAAAAGTGGTTTTTTAACTTTTACTTACACTTTACAAAAACAACAAAACCAGAAAACAATGCAAAGATGTTTCAAACTCGTGAGTATTTAAGCCAAAGTAAGAAAGAAAGTGGTTCTGGTATCATGTTAATATTTTTTAAAGGGGCCTGTTCGAAGGGGGGAGTTGTTGTCATTAGATTTGTCTATTTCTTTATCCGTCTGTCCGCCTGTCTTTCTTTTCGGTTTGTAATTTAAAAGTGACATTAAACAAAATACCGGCTCGTGTTGGTATAATTTTATACAAAACTCTAAATGTCATGGTTTTTTGTTTGCAACTAACAACTTTTGCTTTTTATTAAAGAATTTTGGTTTGTGTGTTTTTTTATAACATTTTTTTATCTTTTTACGATGTTTGTTTTAGAAAAATAGAAATTTGAATTAAATTTTTATTTACCAAAAATATATCAAGCGTTTTGATTGTTAGTTTCTTTTTCTCTTTTTTTGCAATTAATTTATGTTTATTATTTTGTTTTTTTCTTTAATTAAATTAAATTTATTTAACTGCTTTTGGGCTTTATTATTTAAGCGTAGTTATGTTTTACTTAATGGTCTAGTGATTTACTTTGATTTGAACAAATTTGAAATTAATTCAGAAATCAAAATATTTAAAACTTCCGTTGTTAATAATTAATTAAAACACATTTACATAGGCGCAATGAGATTGTAAAATAATAACAGAATTAACAGTAAAGGTCTTAATATGAGGACACATATAAAGTTTTCTAAGAAACTTAATTTCAAAACTTTGTTAGTTTAGTTCCAGCTTAGTTGTAGTTCGCTTGTGGTTCAGTTGTAGTTCCATTTAGTTCAGTTCTAGTTCTGTTGTAGTTCAGTTCTAGTTCAGTTCTAGTTCAGTTCTAGTTTAGTTCTAGTTCAGTTCTAGTTCAGTTCTAGTTCAGTTCTAGTTCAGTTCTAGTTCAGTTCTAGTTCAGTTCTAGTTCAGTTTCTAGTTCAGTTCTAGTTCAGTTCTAGTTCAGTTCTAGTTCAGTTCTAGTTCAGTTCTAGTTCAGTTCTAGTCAGTTCTAGTTCAGTTCTAGTTCAGTTCTAGTTCAGTTCTAGTTCAGTTCTAGTTCAGTTCTAGTTCAGTTCTAGTTCAGTTCTAGTTCAGTTCTAGTTCAGTTCTAGTTCAGTTCTAGTTCAGTTCTAGTTCAGTTCTAGTTCAGTTCTAGTTCAGTTCTAGTTCAGTTCTAGTTCAGTTCTAGTTCAGTTCTAGTTCAGTTCTAGTTCAGTTCTAGTTCAGTTCTAGTTCAGTTCTAGTTCAGTTCTAGTTCAGTTCTAGTTCAGTTCTAGTTCAGTTCTAGTTCAGTTCTAGTTCAGTTCTAGTTCAGTTCTAGTTCAGTTCTAGTCAGTTCTAGTTCAGTTCTAGTTCAGTTTCTAGTTCAGTTCTAGTTCAGTTCTAGTTCAGTTCTAGTTCAGTTCTAGTTCAGTTCTAGTTCAGTTCTAGTTCATTCTAGTTCAGTTCTAGTTCAGTTCTAGTTCAGGTTCTAGTTCAGTTCTAGTTCAGTTCTAGTCAGTTCTAGTTCAGTTCTAGTTCAGTTCTAGTTCAGTTCTAGTTCAGTTCTAGTTCAGTTCTAGTTCAGTTCTAGTTCAGTTTCTAGTTCAGTTCTAGTTCAGTTCTAGTTCAGTTCTAGTTCAGTTCTAGTTCAGTTCTAGTTCAGTTCTAGTTCAGTTCTAGTTCAGTTCTAGTTCAGTTCTAGTTCAGTTCTAGTTCAGTTCTAGTTCAGTTCTAGTTCAGTTCTAGTTTCAGTTCTAGTTCAGTTCTAGTTCAGTTCTAGTTCAGTTCTAGTTCAGTTCTAGTTCAGTTCTAGTTCAGTTCTAGTTCAGTTCTAGTTCAGTTCTAGTTCAGTTCTAGTTCAGTTCTAGTTCAGTTCTAGTTCAGTTCTAGTTCAGTTCTAGTTCAGTTCTAGTTCAGTTCTAGTTCAGTTCTAGTTCAGTTTAGTTCAGTTCTAGTTCAGTTCTAGTTCAGTTCTAGTTCAGTTCTAGTTCAGTTCTAGTTCAGTTCTAGTTCAGTTCTAGTTTCAGTTCTAGTTAGTTCTAGTTCAGTTCTAGTTCAGTTCTAGTTCAGTTCTAGTTCAGTTCTAGTCAGTTCTAGTTCTAGTTCAGTCTAGTTCTAGTTCAGTTCTAGTTCAGTTCTTCAGTTCTAGTTCAGTTCTAGTTCAGTTCTAGTTCAGTTCTAGTTCAGTTCTAGTTCATTTCTAATTCAGTTCTAGTTCATTTCTAATTCAGTTCTAGTTCAGAACTGGTTCACTTCTTCTTCCGTTCCTGCCCAGTTTAAATTCTCTTCTTTTTTTATTAACTTCCAATAAGTGTCTTAAACTTCTCACAATATTTCCCCTTAATATTTGTAAACTTGTCTTCTTAATTCCTCTAATCCTTACGATGGTTTCATATACTTCAAAACACCCATTCAAACAAAAATAAATCAAATTCTTTGTGCATATAAAGTTCCAATCATAAATTGACACATAACATGACACAATATATGCCTTTAACAAATATGACAGGTGATATTTAAAACGTGTGTACGCAAAAGAAAAGTGAAAAATTTAAAAATGAAAATGATAGGATAATTGCTAATCAAAAGGTATTCATTCATTCACTTGCCTCTAACTATGAAGAACTTTTTTTAGAAGGCAAACATAAAAATTCCTATAGGACTAGAGGTATAAATACGATACTGAAGCACAGGTGTTCGTTCATTATTTCTAAGCGCATAAATACCAGGAATACCTAAAGGAAGACACCATATAAACGCATAATAAAAACAAATCATACATTAGAAGCTTAAAAACGTGTAATTTGAGGTGGTGCACAAATACTGGAAAAAAATCCAAAAGAAAAATGCATATTTTCTCGATAATATTACTATATGTATTGCTTAGTGAGGCCAAAGCAATGGTAATATTAGAACCAGAAATTAATATCTCCGATGTGTCCATAGGTAAATTTAACAAAATAATAAATATGTTTGTTTAACTTGTGTGTGACAATATAAAAGGAAACTCATTATTTGTCTAAATAAAGTGATTGATGGTTTGTGAAATAAAAATGCATTTGGGTATGAAAGTGAAAAAGCTAGAGAAGATTTAAAAGTAATCAATTAAAATAAAATAATGGAGATTTAAGCTGTTTTAAGTTCAATTCTATTTCTAGTTCAGTTGTAGTTCAGTTCTAGTTCAGTTCTAGTTCAGTTCTAGTTCAGTTCTAGTTCAGTTCCAGTTCAGTTCTAGTTCAGTTCTAGTTCAGTTCTAGTTCAGTTCTAGTTCAGTTCTAGTTCAGTTCTAGTTCAGTTCTAGTTCAGTTCTAGTTCAGTTCTAGTTCAGTTCTAGTTCAGTTCTAGTTCAGTTCTAGTTCAGTTCTAGTTCAGTTCTAGTTCAGTTCTAGTTCTCTAGTTCAGTTCTAGTTCAGTTCTAGTTCAGTTCTAGTTTTCAGTTCTAGTTCAGTTCTAGTCAGTTCTAGTCAGTTCTAGTTCAGGTTCTAGTTCAGTTCTAGTTCAGTTTCTAGTTCAGTTCTAGTTCAGTTCTAGTTCAGTTCTAGTTCAGTTCTAGTTCAGTTCTAGTTCAGTTCTAGTTCAGTTCTAGTTCAGTTCTAGTTCAGTTTCTAGTTCAGTTCTAGTTCAGTTCTAGTTCAGTTCTAGTTCAGTTCTAGTTCAGTTCTAGTTCAGTTCTAGTTCAGTTCTAGTTCAGTTCTAGTTCAGTTCTAGTTCAGTTCTAGTTCAGTTCTAGTTCAGTTCTAGTTCAGTTCTGTCAGTAGTTCAGTCTAGTTCAGTTCTAGTTCAGTTCTAGTTCAGTTCTAGTTCAGTTCTAGTTCAGTTCTAGTTCAGTTCTAGTTCAGTTCTAGTTCAGTTCTAGTCAGTTCTAGTTCAGTTCTAGTCAGTTAGTCAGTTCTAGTTCAGTTCCTTTACAGTTAGTTCGTCAGTTTCAGTTCTAGTTCAGGTCAGTTCAGTTCTAGTTCAGTTCTAGTTCAGTTCTAGTTCAGTTCTAGTTCAGTTCTAGTTCAGTTCTAGTTCAGTTCTAGTTCAGTTCTAGTTCAGTTCTAGTTCAGTTCTAGTTCAGTTCTAGTTCAGTTCTAGTTCAGTTCTAGTTCAGTTCTAGTTCAGTTCTAGTTCAGTTCTAGTTCAGTTCTAGTTCAGTTCTAGTTCAGTTCTAGTTCAGTTCTAGTTCAGTTCTAGTTCAGTTCTAGTTCAGTTCTAGTTCAGTTTTAGTTCAGTTCTAGTTCAGTTCTAGTTCAGTTCTAGTTCAGTTCTAGTTCAGTTCTAGTTCAGTTCTAGTTCAGTTCTAGTTCAGTTCTAGTTCAGTTCTAGTTCAGTTCTAGTTCAGTTCCAGTTCAAGTTCTGTTCTAGTTCTGCTTTAATTCAGTTCCAGTTCAAGTTCTGTTCTGTTCTAGTTCTGCTTTAGTTCAGTTCCAGTTCAAGTTCTGTTCTAGTTCTGCTTTAGTTCAGTTAAATGTTTGGAATTGTTTTTTCTTTAAAGGCCTCTCCCAAATCATAAAAAGTCTACATCCCACCCAACTAGCTATATTGGTTAAACCCGCTCAAAATTTCAACATCTCCTCGGAAGAGCACCAACTAATCCCAGAAGAAAATCTTAGTTTTCAATTACATGTTGATGAATTTCTACAAAACTTGCATGATTTAAATTTTAAATCAGTGATTTTCTATGACACCGAACTATTCTTTAAATTCATCGAGTCCAGTCTACATGGTGCCATAGAAAGTGTAAATCTCATATTTTGTAATCCCTACGATTTAATGCAGAAAATACATGAGCGTAAACTCGCTCATCGTTTGAGTTTATTTATATTCTATTGGGGAGCTAAATATCCACCCAAGAGGACAGAGGTTAACTTTCGAGAACCCGTAAGAGCAGTGGTGATTACCAGACCAAGAAAAAGGGCGTGAGTTGAAGTTAGATAAAAATATTTTATCATTTAAGTGAAATGTTTTGTTTGCTAGTTTTCGTATTTATTATAATCAAGCTTATCCGGATGGGGTGGGCCGTTTGACATTGGTTAGCTGGTATGATGGTGATAATTTGGGTTTGAGTAAAGAACCGTTATTGCCCTCAGCTAAAAGTGTTTACTCTAATTTTCAGGGTAGAGTATTCAAAGTGCCGGTTTTTCATGTGAGTATGTTTTTTTTAATAATTTTTTATTAAAATGTATAATATTTTTTGAAAGTCTCCTCCCTGGTTTTGGGTTAATTATGATAATGATACCTATAACAATAATTCTTTGGATTTTACTATATCTGAGGAAAATCCTTTAACAGAGGACACTATAGAATTTAAAGAAGTGAATGTTACGGGCGGTAGGGATCATCGCCTTCTGCAGTTGCTGGCACAGCATATGAATTTTGAATTTATCTATATAGAGGCTCATGGCAGGACCCAGGGTTCACTGAGAAATGATAATGAGGCTAATGATACCTTTACGGGAGGCATAGGAATGCTGCAAATAGGGGTGAGTTTGAAAGATCTAGAAATAAATATACTTTTCTAAGTTTTGAACTTAGCTGGCAGATTTCTTTTTGGGAGATGTGGGTCTGAGTTGGGAACGTCGTAAAGCTATAGAGTTTTCTTTTTTCACTTTGGCCGATTCGGGGGCCTTTGCTACTCATGCTCCACGCCGTTTAAATGAGGCTTTAGCTATACTAAGACCTTTTAAGGCAGATGTCTGGCCTTATTTGATATTGACGATTATAGTCTCGGGTCCCGTCTTTTATTTTGTTATCTCTACACCCTATCGCTGGCATCCCTCTACGGTTAAGAGATTATCAAAGAAAATATCCAAACATGGAGCTTTTCATATGTGTTATATCAAGGAGATCACTCGCATAGATACACAATTTCAAAGAAGATTGGCCAAAATGGAACAACACTTTCGTTCGCCCCAAGAAATGGATGAGTTGCCGCCAAATTTATTCAATCGTTGTATTTGGTTTACAGTACAATTGTTTTTGAAACAATGTAAGTTTTACTTGAAGAGTGAAATCGGTTTGAAAATATGTTTCATATTACAGCCTGCCAAGAGCTTTATCATGGCTATAGAGCCAAGTTTCTGATGACCGTCTACTGGATTGCTGCTACTTATGTTCTGGCCGATGTCTATTCTGCCCAATTGACTTCACAATTTGCTCGTCCTGCCCGTGAGCGTCCGATCAATACTTTACATCGTTTACAAAGTGTTATGATCCATGATGGTTATCTGTTGTATGTGGAAAAGGAAAGTTCTTCTTTGGAAATGTTGGAGGTGCTTGGGAATGGGTTTGATTTTCTATATAGTGTTTTAATTGAAAGTTTTACTTTCAGAATGGCACTGAAATATTTCGCCAGCTGTACGCTTTAATGAAATTACAAAGTCCTGATGAGGAGGGTTACTTAATCGATTCTGTGGAAGCGGGTATACAATTGATAGCAGATGGTTTGGAGAATAAGGCGGTCTTGGGTGGTAGAGAGACTTTATTCTTTAATATACAACAGTATGGTGAGTAAAAGATGGGAAAATGGGGGTTCAAAATGAAGTTCATGTCTGATCTTCAACTTTGATCGTGGATCTTTTTCTTGCAGAAAATTTACTTTGATCGTAAATCTTACCATTCTCTAATACAATCTTGTTCTGTTTCAACATAAGCTTGCCAAGATCTCTTTCTACAATTTTACTTTGATCGTAGGAACTTTTTTTCCTCTTTCGTGGAAAATTTAGCTTTAACCGTATTTCATGCTCGAATTTTAACTTTATTTGATTGTAGATATTTGTCGGTTTCAATAATAACTTTGATCGCGTATATGTCTTGATTCATACCTTCATTGATGATTTTCCGATCGGACTTTGGTTTTAATCGGTGATATTTATTTATACTTCAGGTTTTCTTCTAACTTTCATCGTGTTCCTCTTTCACAGTTCAAATTTAAACGTTGATCACTGATCTTGTTATATACTTTAACTTAAATTTGATCGTGCAACTTGTTCTCTTCACAGTTTACGTCTGTTCTTCAATTTTAACATTGATCGTGTTTAATTTTTGTCAGAAATTGTGCTCTGATCGTATTTTATGTTCCAATTTTAACTTTATTTGTTGATTTAAATGTGAATGTTCATTCAACTTTAATCAGGAGCTTTTCTCTACGAACTTGGGTTAAATCACTCATGTTTTTTCTGATCTAACGAATTTGTTTCTTCTAATTATGAACGTGTACCTTTCACAGTATCAATTTTAGTTTCGATCGTGAATATTTTTGTTCCAAATTTTTAGATTTGATAAAGAATTTATTGTTGATCTGTTAATGACCAAAGTATATCTTCGATCATGAGGGGTTTTTTGATTCTAGCATTGATCTTGTTTTGGCTGTAAAGCTTTATCTTCTGTTACAACTATTTGTTTCAGCACTAATTTTCACTATAATCCAGGATCTTTCTGCTCCATTTTAAGCATTGATCATGGTTATTGATCTTGTTTTCCTTTTAAAGAACATTTGACTTAGTCATGTCTTCTTTCGAACACCTGTTTAAACTTCTCTTAACAAGCCGGTTGTTTTACCTTTTCCAGGTTCAAAATCCTTTCAATTAAGCCACAAACTCTACACTCGCTACTCAGCTGTGGCCGTACAAATTGGTTGCCCTTTTCTTGACAGTTTAAATGATGTGTAAGTTATTCCAAGGTCATGGTCATATATATTATGTCATTAATCAATTCTTTCAAATATTTAGACTCATTCATCTCTTTGAAGGTGGCATTTTAGATAAAATGACCACAGCTGAGTATGAAACACAATCCCGTATGATTGGCAAGGATTTGAATAAGAAAAAGAAAATCCTTAACGATGAACCCCCAGAGTTGACAACAAAGAGCGAAGAACCTAATATATCAACAAATGAGGCAAGTGGTAAGAGTGCCGATAATGCGGAGATGAAAAAACCACAGGATACCCAAATCATACAACCCCTTAATCTGCGCATGCTGCAGGGTGCTTTTATAGTGTTGATCGTAGGTTATACAGCGGCAGGTAAGAGAGAGAGAGAAGTGAGAGATAATTTAACACTTTAATTATATGAACAAATTTAATTGTTTCAACATTTTTCTATTTTTTTGAAATTTTCTAAATTTCTTTTTTGTTTCTTTTTGTTGTTGGAATTTTCTTTATTTTGTTGTTTAATTTAATTGCTTTTTTCTTTATTTTTTTTTTTGTATTGTAGGTTTAATACTTTTACTGGAATTATTTTGTCATGGTATGAATTTGAATATAATCAGAGTGTGTAAAACTAATTTGCATAAAAAATTGAAATTTCTAAAAAGAAAATTAAGAAAAACTCTTAGATGGCTGGCAATGCGCTTTAAGTAAAGAATGGTGAAAATTTGTTGTTTTAAGAAAACATAAAACTAATTAAGATTTTACAAGATTTTTTGTTCAAATACAAATGCAATTAATAAAAGCAAGCTTTAAGTGTAAATAAAAATTTAGAAAAAAAGCTTTATTTAAAAAGGAAAACTTTAAAAGATCGTTAATTAATGCTCAAATTGAAGCAGAAAAGTAAACACGATCAAAGCTAAAGATAATCGAAGCTCATATTGTGTATGATCAAAACTTACACGATCAATCATAAAGTAAAGTTAAGGCTTAAAGTGATCCTCGATCAAAACAAAAACGATTGAAACCTAAAAATAGAATTACGAACAAAAAAAACTTAAAACAAGGAAAAAAGTGATCCTCGATCAAAGCAAACAAGATCGAAGTCTAAATATGTATGAAGAAGAAGCACGAACAAAAAAAAAAGTAACCATCGAGCTAAAACGATCGAAGTCCTAAACGTAAATATAATTTGATCCTTGATCAAAGCTAAAGCGATCAAAACTTTTAATGACCCCATTTAATACCTATGTGCCAAATTTTCCTTATAATTTAAAATTTCAAAATCTTCTCATTATCTATATTTTTCATAATAATTACGAACAAAATAAGGTCATCTCTGTTATTACAGAAAATTTGTTCCCTTTTAAATCTTTCTTTATATTTTATTTGTTCAACAAATAATTGCCAAATTTGTCAAATTATTGTAAACAATCATTTGATATCAATACCAATCATCATCCAAAAGATTGAGAACAAATAATTATGTTTATGGTACAAAGAAAAAAAAAACTAAATTATAAATAATTTTCTATGACTACATCATGACTTTTAATGAAAGATAATAGAAAAAGCTGACATGGAGAAACACAAATCAGTGCAAGGTTTCGTGGGTTTTAAAAATAAAGAAAAGGAAAATTAAAATAAAAAGATAGATTAAACAAAAACGACTTTAAATCACTTGTTAGAATCTTCATCCAATAAATGATCGAAATAACTAGAACTGAACTAGAACTGAACTAGAACTGAACTAGAGCTGCACTAGAACTGAACTAGAACTGAACTAGAACTGAACTAGAACTGAACTAGAACTGAACTAGAACTGAACTAGAACTGAACTAGAACTGAACTAGAACTGAACTAGAACTGAACTAGAACTGAACTAGAACTGAACTAGAACTGAACTAGAACTGAACTAGAACTGAACTAGAACTGAACTAGAACTGAACTAGAACTGAACTAGAACTGAACTAGAACTGAACTAGAACTGAACTAGAACTGAACTAGAACTGAACTAGAACTGAACTAGAACTGAACTAGAACTGAACTAGAACTGAACTAGAACTAGAACTAGAACTAGAACTAGAACAGAACTAGAACAGAACTAGAACAGAACTAGAACAGAACTAGAACAGAACTAGAACAGAACTAGAACAGAACTAGAACAGAACTAGAACAGAACTAGAACTGAACTAGAACAGAACTAGAAACTAGAACTAGAACTGAACTAGAACTGAACTAAACTGAACTAGAACTGAACTAGAACTGAACTAGAACTGAACTAGAACTGAACTAGAACTGAACTAGAACTGAACTAGAACTGAACTAGAACTGAACTAGAACTGAACTAGAACTGAACTAGAACTGAACTAGAACTGAACTAGAACTGAACTAGAACTGAACTAGAACTGAACTAGAACTGAACTAGAACTGAACTAGAACTGAACTAGAACTGAACTAGAACTGAACTAGAACTGAACTAGAACTGAACTAGAACTGAACTAGAACTGAACTAGAACTGAACTAGAACTGAACTAGAACTGAACTAGAACTGAACTAGAACTGAACTAGAACTGAACTAGAACTGAACTAGAACTGAACTAGAACTGAACTAGAACTGAACTAGAACTGAACTAGAACTGAACTAGAACTGAACTAGAACTGAACTAGAACTGAACTAGAACTGAACTAGAACTGAACTAGAACTGAACTAGAACTAACTAGAACTGAACTAGAACTGAACTAGAACTGAACTAGAACTGAACTAGAACTGAACTAGAACTGAACTAGAACTGAACTAGAACTGAACTAGAACTGAACTAGAACTGAACTAGAACTGAACTAGAACTGAACTAGAACTGAACTAGAACTGAACTAGAACTGACTACAATAAAAATTATCCTTAATAAAAGATGGTCTAAGTATATCGATAGCTAAAGGCAGAGTAGGAAATATCGAACAACTAATAACGTAATCTCTTACACAAATTATGCTCTAAATTCCTGTTTTGAATATTAATATATTTTTGAAATGTTCTTTAAAAAATTCAATAGAACTTACAGAAGCCAATCAATTACCAACAATTGATAAATGTCACTAAACCTTAAGCTGATATTAATACCAAAAACAACATGATACAATCACATCGAACAACATTATTTAATTATAATCTTTTCTGATAATCTATTAGAAACTAATAAACTGGTGTAGGGTATAGAAAGAAAAACGTAAGAAATAAAATTTTTTTGATAAATGTTTCTAAAGCAGAGCGTTGACATGACGATTTTCAAAACATTAGATCCAAAGCAGAGACAACAAATAACAATAACAAATGAATTGAAATAAAAGACACACACAACACCTTTGATTTGATTAGATTTGTAAAAATAAGTAGAGAATGAAAAATAAAAATAATGTATAGAAAATAATATAAAAATAAACTCACATGTAGGAATTAATGTCAACGTTAGTTGATTCACATATCTGTCCGTCCGTCTGCCTGCTGATATGCCAAGTGATAAAATACAAAACAGATTGCGTTTGTTGGGGTTTCTTTCATCCACGACTCTTCCTCCTATGTTGATGATGCTTTACTGATGTCATGTCTGTGTTGAAATAGAAAATAAAAAAAAACTTTGTTAGATGTTTGTAGCAGAAGTAGACACACGGAATGGTAAAGAAATCTATTGAGTTTTAAAATGATAAATAAGGGGGAAATATAACGAACATAATTTATAGATTTTAGACTTTTAGTTAAGAAATTGAAACTATTGGTGATTAGAAAAAAATGAATTTAAAGATTTCCGATATTAAACCATTTTAATTAGATAATGAAGGAAAAAAGATAAATGACAATTCTAACAAGCAGTCAGACATTGAATTGTGACTGTAGGGCTTTGAAGCAGACATAGAAATAAGCTGGGAATAATTTCAAGTTTGTTACTTAAATCTTTTGATTTGTCAGAGACCAAGCATTAATAACATATTAAAATTTTCTAAGGAAAACAGTACACAGTGATCTAGAACTGAGATAGAGCTGAACTAGAACTGAACTAGAAACACAACTAGAATGAACTAAACTGAACTAGAACTAGAACTGAACTAGAACTGAACTAGAACTGAACTAGAACTGAACTAGAACTGACTAGAACTGAACTAGAACTGAACTAGAACTGAACTAGAACTGAACTAGAACTGAACTAGAACTGAACTAGAACTGAACTAGAAACTGAACTAGAACTGAACTAGAACTGAACTAGAACTGAACTAGAACTGAACTAGAACTGAACTAGAACTAGCTAGAACTGAACTAGAACTGAACTAGAACTGAACTAGAACTGAACATAGAACTGAACTAGAACTGAACTGAACTGAACTAGAACTGAACTAGAACTGAACTAGAACATGAACTAGAACTGAACTAGAACTGAACTAAGAACTGAACTAGAACTGAACTAGAACTGAACTAGAACTGAACTAGAACTGAACTAGAACTGAACTAGAACTGAACTAGAACTGAACTAGAACTGAACTAGAACTGAACTAGAACTGAACTAGAACTTGAACTAGAACTGAACTAGAACTGAACTAGAACTGAACTAGAACTGAACTAGAACTGAAACTAGAACTGAACTAGAACTGAACTAGAAACTGAACTAGAACTGAACTAGAACTGAACTAGAACTGAACTAGAACTGAACTAGAACTGAACTAGAACTGAACTAGACTGAACTAAACTGAACTAGAACTGAACTAGAACTGAACTAGAACTGAACTAGAACTGAACTAGAACTGAACTAGAACTGAACTAGAACTGAACTAGAACTGAACTAGAACTTAACTAGAACTGAGCTAGAACTGAACTAGAACTGAACTAGAACTGAACTAGAACTGGAACTGAACTAGAACTGAACTAGAACTGAACTAGAACTGAACTAGAATGAACTAGAACTGAACTAGAACTGAACTAGAACTGAACTAGAACTGAACTAGAACTGAACTAGAACTGAACTAGAACTGAACTAGAACTGAACTAGAACTGAACTAGAACTGAACTAGAACTGAACTAGAACTGAACTAGAACTGAACTAGAACTAACTAGAACTGAACTAGAACTGAACTAGAACTGAACTAGAACTGAACTAGAACTGAACTAGAACTGAACTAGAACTGAACTAGAACTGAACTAGAACTGAACTAGAACTGAACTAGAACTGAACTAGAACTGAACTAGAACTGAACTAGAACTGAACTAGAACTGAACTAGAACTGAACTAGAACTGAACTAGAACTGAACTTGAACTGAACTACAACTAAACTCACAGTGACAATATCATTTATAATGCCCTATGTTTATGAAAATGAAATATCTTTTGTTAAGTTTAAGTTACTTTTTTGCATTCTTTAAATAATTTTCCCAAGAATTATTACCATCATACTTACTCCTGCAAACTGACACAACACTCTTACTAGGGAAAAAGCAATTGCTATAAAAAATACATATTTTCTTCTTATTCCCCCTAAACATTTTCTTCAAGAAAATGTTTTCGTTTTTCTTGTTTTTTGCTCATGTTTAGCTTTTTGTTTTTTTTTTTACTAGGACACAAAACATTGACAACTTGTTAAACTTCAAACTGTCTGCAAATGTGACATAGACTGATAAACTACTCTCAAACATACCAAGTGATAGTATAAATATAGGGGTTCCATACTAA